TCCATCGTCGACAGCTGAGACAGCGGTGAAAACGCCTCTCCCAGGCGTCCCTGGATTCCCACCTCAGTGGGGACCCCTTTCCCAGCCGAGAGCAAGACCCGCCCCTCTCACCTGGCTCTGCCTTGCCTGCCGCAGGTGTGGCCCTGCTTCCACCCTTTCTCCAGGGCCTCAGGGCTCTGCCTGGATGGTGGGGCACCCGCCCGCCCGCTCCCAGACCAGAGCCGGGTGTGCGGATGGCATTGATGCCAGATGCCTTAGTGAGCTCTTCCTCTATGCCCTGGGCATCCACCCGCCACGGGGGATGAAATTTGGTGCTAATTTGCCCAAGGTGAGTAGGCGTTAATTTGATAATTGCTGTGAGGGCTTGTTTGTGGAATGTGCAAATGTATTTTTATAGCAACAAACCATTTGCTGTGAAGTATAAATAGAACAGTCGGCCGAGTTGAAGTCTCGGTTGCATGGCATCCCTGTGGCCCATCTCCTCCGGCGCCGAGTCACATGCCCCCAGTCCCCATCCCAGGAGGCTCCTGGGGCGGCTCAGCGGGAAGGGCCTGCATCCAGAGGGGCAGGAGCCCAGGTGTGGACTCAGGCAGAGGGTGAGGGGGGACAGACATGCCTCCCCCGCCCTGGCCAGTGTGGCTCAGTGGTTGAGTATCAGCCTGCAGACCAAAGGGTCCCGGGTTCGATTCCAGTCAAGAGCACGTACCTTGGTTGCAACAGGCTCCTCCCCGCACCTCCCCCCGATGTGTTTCTCTCCGTCTTTCCCTCTCTCTTCCACTCTCCCTAAAAATCAATGGAAAAATATCCTCGGGTGAGGATTCACCAAAATAGAAAAGGAAAATGCTTCTCATTCAGTGCCTGCTCCTGGCGGAGGGCTGGGGCCCAGCGCGAAGGCACATGAAAGGATCGTTCCAGGAAGGATAAAGCAGGCCTGTCTTATGGTGGAAAATGAACACGCGCTAAAGGTTTTATTTGACTCGGGAGGGAACCTGGCCGACGTGATCGCTGGTTGGAAAGAGAATCTGAAGAGCAGGCGTTTATGGTCAGAAATACGGAAATGACGTGAGAGGGAGGCAAATTTGGACCTTGGGGGTCTGCGCGGGGGAGGGAGAGAAGTGAATGAACCTCCACTGGGCAGGACAGAATTCGCATCTACAGACAAGAGGGATTGTGTGCCGCCCACCCCCCTCACCCCCATCTATCACCCAGGCTTGTAACACAGCTTCCCCCGGATGAGTCAGACAGCCCGAGGGGGAGGTGACCCAGGGACCGTAGTAAATGCAGGAAATGGATTGGCAGCCAGAGATTTAAGTAACAGTTCAGACAACTTTCCAGGAAGAGGGTGGGGTCCCAGCACAGAGACTGAGGAATGACACCGTGGCCTGGACACAGGATGAGGGAGAATCTGCTGGGGTGGGGGTGGGGGGCTGAATATGCTCTTTCTCTTGCGTTAAAAAAAATGTTTGACATTTCCCGTCAGACGTGGAGTCACTCTGGTTCCAGGCTGGAGTCAGGAGACAGCTCTGCACACACTTGCTGTGTTGCTTTGGGCAAGTCCCTTACCCTCTCTGGGCCTCAGGGACAATTGACGGCGCACGACATTCACCAGGATCCTTCCTGGCTCCACTATTCTGTGATTCTTTTTTTTTTCTTTAATATATATTTTAATTGATGTCAGAGAGGAAGGGGGGGGGAGAGAGAGAGAAGCATCAATGATGAGAGAGAATCACTGATCAGCTGCCTCCTGCATGTTCCACAACTGGGGATCGAGCCCAAAGCTCGGGCATGTGCCCCGACCGGGAATTGAACCGTGACCTCCTGGTTCATAGGTCGACGCTCAACCACTGAGCCACGCTGGCTGCGCTGTTCTGTGATTCTGATAATCCACGGGAAGGAGAAATCTGAGGGTATACGAGGCTTGTATCAGGTTGTCCAGAGAAACCGAACTTACAGGAGGTACTAATGCACAGTTGTCCCTCGGTAACCACAGGGACTGGGCCCACAACCCCCGCAGATACCAGACGACACGGACGCGCCAGGCCCTTGCGTGAAACGGTGTGTGTGCAGGGAGCCTACCACACCGGCGTGAACGTAACGCTCTCTAGATTACTTACGCGACCTGACACAACGTGCGTGCTGTGGGCACGGTGCTGAGGCTGACTTGCTCAGGGAATGCTGAAGAGAGAAGGTCTGCACGCTTTCCGTACAGATGCGACCCGCGTAGACCTGCCACATGGTACACGCCAGCAACGTGCAACATCGTAAAAAGTATCTCTCTGATCTGGGGTTGGCTGAGTGGGTGTGGAAGCCGCGGATACGCCGGGCCGACGGCAGCGCCGTCTAAGGCACTGGTTGTGGGGACCGGCCCGTCCCGGCCTGTAAGGCAGGCCACGGGCTGGAAACAGGCGGGAATTCCGGTTGTGGCCTTGAGGCAGGATTCCTTCTCCGAAAACCTTCGTTTTTGCTCTTCAGGCCTTGGACTGAGTAGACGGGGCCCACCCACAGCCTGGCGATGGCCTGCTCTGCTCAGAATGTGCCGACTGTACATGTTCATCACATACATCCGCGCATGCCTCCCGGCAACACCTGGGCCTGAGTCTGCCCGGACAGCCACCCTGACACACAGACATCCCCTCACGGCGGGTGGGCCAGCCTCTGCGGGAGCACTGCCCGGGGCGCTTTCCGCCCGCCACCCGCACCTCGGGCTCCTGGGCCTGGGGAAGATGGGCTGCCGGGCGGTGCCCGTGGGAGCGGGGCACTGGCCTCCCCGGGCCCAGGCCTCTCCCTGCTGGCCACGCGCGCAGCAGGGGTGGGGAGCCGCCCGGACTCTGGTCCAGGCCCCTGGGTGCCTGAGCCCGTGGGCGGCCATATCTTACTCTCAACTATAAGACCCTGTGGGGAGGGAGGCTCGCAGGCCCCCCCACCCACAGTTCCCCCCACAACTAGCTGCTGTTGCCACAACAAAGCCCTGGTTATGGTGACACCGCCAAGCGAGCCAACTTCAGAACAAATGGTGGTGTCCCTGCGGCCGATGGGGCCGAGGTTTTGACCCTGAAGGGAAACCGGACAGAACGTCCCTTTTGGGTAAAGCGGAGGCGGCGAGGGGAAGCGGCTTCCTGGCTTCAGGGCTCCGTGTGCCCCTGGGCGTCGGTGCCGGGAGGCCTCTCCCCGCGGGCAGGCCTGGGCCGAGGACAGGGCCTTTTCAGCTGTCCGCCCTGGGGGGCTTGGCCTCCTGCCAGGCTTTCAGCCAGAAATGTCCTAGCGCAGCGACGGCGGACCTGTGACACGCATCAGCGGTGACACGCGAACTCATTTTTTTGGTTGATTTTTCTGTGTTAAATGGCATTTAAATATAAAAAACAAATATCAAAAATATAAGTCTTTGTTTTACTATGGTTGCAAAGATCAAAAAATTTCTGTATGTGACGCGGCACCAGAGTGAAGTTAGGGTTTTTCAAAATGCTGACACGCCGAGTGCCGCCCTGCCTAGAGCTGCGCAGGCGATTGAGTTTCTTTTCTCACTTTCACTCGGGTGGGGAGTGGCTCCAGGCCAGGGCTGAGGACAGGCTCCCAGGCCTGGCGTCACCCCAGGGCCCTCGCCAGTGATCGGCCACAGCTTGGGGAAGGCTGGGCTTGGAGGACGGTGCGTTCCTTCCGTGGAGAAGGTGGGCAGTGGGGCCAGGTGGGCTCCCCTGCCTGGTGCTGTGTGCCTGCACCCTGCCAGGGAGCAAACCCGCACCCTGTGTGTGCGCCGGCCTGGCCAGCTGGCTCTCCCGGGTCTGCACCACCCTCAGTCCTAGGCCGGCGCTGCCAGCCCTGCAGCCTTGTCCCTTAACGGGCCGTGGGTCTGGGCAGGCGACTCCCTTCTCTACCTCAGTTTTCTCATCTGTGAAATGGAGCTGGAAGCGGCACTAAGCTAACGGGGATTTTTGGTGTGTTTTTTAAGGAGGCAGTGTTTTTAATATGTTTATATAATAAAATATTTCTATTACCAATCATGCACTTTTTAGTTTAAATAACGTTATCTCATATTAAGAGCAATACAGGCTTTTGGAAAAGTGAAAATAAAAAGACAAACATGGGAAAAATAAATGGGTTGACAAATCCTAACCCCAGAATTCATAGGAAACAGCATTTTAATGTATTTATTTAACTGTTTGTTAACCCTCCCACTGATGTTTTTCCACTGATGTTTAGAGAGGGAAGGAGAGAGAGAGAGAGAGAAAGGCCGATACACATTGATTGGTTGCCTCCCAAACGCACCCCGACTGGGCCAGAGAGCGAACCTGCATCCCAGGTACGTGACTTTGACGGGAATTGAACCCATGACCCTTTGGTGCGCGGGCCAGTGCTCTAACCACTGGACACATGGGCCAGGGCAGAAAACAGCATTTTTAAAACAATGTGAAACATCTTTTTTTTTTTGCTCTTAAAATACTGGGCCAAACTTACGTGCTGTTTTCACCCTGTTTTGTTAATGTTTTAAAACCACTATTGAGATCCAGCTCCGCCCACGGAGAGTGTGCGGCTCAGCCTGCTGGTGTGTTCACAGATGGCACGGCCGTCACCCAGTCACCGTAGGACGTTGTCGTCGCCTCCGAAAGAGCTGTCACGGTCCCCCCAGTGCCTCCTCCCCCGCCTGGCAGCCCCGCTCCGCTGCCCGCCTCTGGAGCTGCCTGTTCACATCGGAGGAATCAGACACGCCGTGGCCTTCGTGCTGGCCTATTCCACGTGGCGTGATGTTCTCGAGGCTCCTCCGTGCCCTAGCGTGTGTCAGTACTTTGCTCCTTTCCAGGGACACAGAATATTTCGTTATTTGGACACACACGGGTTTTTAGATGTTTTCAGGCGTTGAGGCAGCGTCCCGGCACAGGGTGACTCCGGCTTTGGTTGTGGTTACCAGCTGTGCAGCCGTGAGCAACTCCGACTGATCCTTGCCGGCCTCAGTTACCCTCTCTGTACAATGGGCACAGGAGTGAGTGTGTGTGTCTCTGAGGGGTTGGCGAGGCCGGCGTGATGGTGTCCGGGGCGTCCGTGGGCCCTGCAGGTGCTGTTCCCACCCACGTGGTCCTGCTCTCGGGCCCCGGGGCCGGCTGGTGGGAGGGAGCCCCATCCAGGAGACGTGTGCGAAATGCGCCCCCTTCCTCTGCTTCTCTCTCAGGGTGTCAGAAGGAGCCCCGGCCGGGTCCCCAAGAGGTGGCATCGCGACAGCGCCCGCCCCCCTGCCCACCGCAGAGCATGGCCCGGCTGGACTTGGAGGAGCTGGCCGAGATAGGTGCAAGGACTCTCTCCCTCGTGTCTCTCGTCCTCCCTTCTCGCAGAGAAGTCCAGCATCGCTGGGTCCAGGGCCCCCTCATCAGGGCGACCTCATCCTAGCTCCTTTCACCTCTGAAGGCCCTGCCTCCCAAATAAGGTCACCTGGGAGGTGCCGGGGGACGGGGTGTGGAGGGACCCGCTCATTCAGTGCATCGGCGGCCCTCACCTGAGGTTCGAAGCCCCCATGCTTTTCCAGCTGAAGACATTTCTGAAAATCCCTCGATTTGTTTTGTATGAAGGAGCCTCCCCTTCTCAAAGTCCCCTTCGGAAACTGCACGCGCTTCCTGCCTCACAGCACAGGGACACAGTGTCTGCCCTCCACCCGCCATGGCTTGCTGCCAGCTCCCAATGCCAGCATCTTTCAGGAAGGGCCCGAGCCAGCGTTTGGAGCTGGGAGATCGAGTTCAGCCCACACCCTGGTGCCAGTTAGCAGTGTGACCTTGGGGAAGTCATTCCCCTTCTCTGAGCCGCAGGTTCCACTTCTGTCAGTGTGAAGGCCAATAGCCAGCCCTCGGGCCTCATTCTTCTTCTTCCATGGTGCTGCACACTGAGCAGGCGCACAGTGGGTGCACAGCGGAGGTGGGCGCACAGTGGGTGCACAGCTGAGGCATGGTGACTGTCCTATAAAAAGACGTCAGGAGGTCCCCTCATGCTCCTCCCTAGAGCATACAGCTGACTTCCTCTCCTCCTCACTGTCGGCCCTAGAGCTGCAGAGAGATGAGGAGGAGGCAGCCGCGCTGGGCGCAGTGCGAAGACCCTCAGCGGTGGCAGCGGCTGACCAGGACCCTGCCCTGAGCTTGAGTCACCCCTTCTACGACGTGGCCAGACACGGCATCCTGCAGGTGGGAGGTGAGTCCTGCTGCGTGGTCCCAGGTGCGTGACCGTGCAGCCTTCCTTCCTGTGGGCCCTGAGGCGTGGGGTGGGCCCGGGGGACAGTGAGGGCCTGCAGCTCTTGCCTCCTGCTCCTCCCAGAAGTGGCACGCACCACCCCAGGACCCCGCCCGGGGCTCCACCTCAGGGGCAACCGTGCGTCACTCCCACCAACGGGTTCCCCTAATTTTCTTCCCCAGGTGCCACTCGTCCGGTACTGAACATCAAACCCACAGCCAAAACCAAAGACTTGTCACAAGTGATAGTGAAATGATCTGTCGTTACTTAAGGGGTCATATATTTGGCCAAATGGAAGCTTTGTAGAATTTTAACTCTTAAGATGGTGTTTGTATCGTTTCTGCTTTTTTTAAAAAAATTTATTGATTGATTTTGAGAGAGGGAGGAAGGGAGAGAGAAAGAAACGTCGATTTGTTGTTCCACTTATTTGTGTGTTCATTGGGTGATTCTTGTATGTGCCCTGACTGGGGATCAAACCCACAACCTTGGCAGATCAGGACAACACTTTTCTTGTTAAAATATGTTTTTACTAGAGGCCCAATGCATGAAATTTGTGCACTTAGCAGGGGGGGGGGTGTCCCTCAGCCCGGCCTGCACCCTCTCTCAGTCCGGGAGCCCTCGGGGGATGTCTGACTGATGGTTTAGGCCCGCTGAGCCGGCAGTCGGACATCCTTAGCGCTGCTGCGGAAGCGGGAGAGGCTCCTGCCACCACCACTGCACTCTCCAGCCATGAGCTCGACTTCTGGCTGAGCAGTGCTCCCCCTGGGGGAGCACACTGACCACCAGGGGGCAGCTTCTGCATTGAGCATCTGCCCCCTGGTGGTCAATGCGTGT